TATATATATATATATATATATTCGATTCGGAAATAAAGATTGAATGATACCATTCAACAAAATTGTAATATTAGTTTAGATAACCGTTGGGAGTCATATGCTAGTAATTATAATTAATGTATATTTAATCTGAGAGCAAAGTGAATAATATCGTCTACATCATGCAATATACATGAGTATGTAAATAGGAAATACTGACAATAACCGTGTGAACAGTTACATCGAGATTGTGACTTTCACTTGAGACAAGTATTTATGATTTTATTTAGTAATAATAATTTACCGACTATGGTCTCGTTCTCACTTTGAGTAGACATCTTAATGTTAAAAAAACTATGAGAAAATTAAGTCGATCGGTGACCGGTGTATTAGTAAAACATTACATTTCTTATGAAGTCACAGCTATATAACATAAAACGGCGACATTGCTGAGATTAATGTAGGCCTAACTACACTCAGTAATGAATAATAAAACGATTTCATACAAACAGTATTGAAATAAAAACTAAAACGGTATGATTAAACAATGTCGGTTACTAAATTGTAAAATGACAACAATAAGACATTATGATACGTTTAAGTCAACCACAGTAAGGATATGCCTAACGATAACTGAAATTAATGGCAGCATTAAGAAATATAACAACGTTGTAAATAAAATAATGATAATGGAGAGTGCAGCCAAGGAGGTGTAAATCACAGCTTGGATGGTATTATATATATGCGTAGTTTGTAGCGAATGTGATATCATGAAATGAGCGCCTAGTACTCTTTAATTAGATGATAAGTATCAATTCCGGCTTGTGCTCACATTATGTTTCCATCTGTAAGCGTTAACTAAACCAAAATAACCAGGTGCTTTCAAAGCTGGCAATATTTATGACAATTTGACAAGTCAACTATCATATTAAATATATAATATATATCCGTCATATTAAATATATATATATATAATATATATATAATATATATATATTACATAGATAATAATTATATATATATAGTAATATAAATATATAGAGTGTATATATATATAATTACGTTTCATTATTAATACTAATATATATCAATTTGAATTATATATTAAAATAATAAATATATCAGACCTTGACTTGACTTGATAAATATCTACAATTGAACTATCTAGAATAATCTAATTTTCGAATAATTTGTCTTGCCGTAATGCTCCATAAATTATTATGAATTATTGTTAAAGAGAAATTCGCTATAAACGCACTGACTATCAAATGTGGGACAAAGCTTGCGACTAATAAAAATCACTAGCGAGACTAATGTTGTTCAAAGCAATTTAAACATGAATTGTTTGCATGTAGTAATAATTGTTGATAATACAATCTAACATGACCAGGGGTGGCGCCATGATTTCTCCGACCGGGGGCCCGAGGTCCC